CTCTCTCTCTCTCTCTCTCTCTCTCTCTCTCTCTCTCTCTCTCTCTCTCTTTTCTTCCTTCTCTGCACTGTTCACCCTCGTTGCTCTCCTTTTCTGTCCTCTCCTATGTCTATGTCCTAGATCTACCCTGAATACTACTGCAGCGTGTCTCTCTCAACATCAGGCGGTAATGGCCGCCAAGTCTGCTTCTTCCCCCTCCTGGCTATGGATGTCTCCTTCAGCCAGGGTGCTGGGCGTCTTCTCCCTTCAGCGCACTTCTTCGTCCAGGTCACTAGTTTGCACAGATCCAACAGCGCTCCACAAATTTGCGAAATGAACAACTGCCTGCCGTCTGGTACTGTAGTCCAAAATATATTGTTTTCGTGGGCTGTGCCTGCCTGCTTCAATCGGTACCGGCCTTCTTTTGCCTCTTCCCTGCGAAGTTGCTCACCTTTGTTGTCAGGCTGCTGCAAAAACTGGACCTTTGGGGAATGGCATGATCCTACAGGTACTGTTCCTACAGACCTATGACGCCTAGACCTACAGACCCTAAGATTTAACTACCAGCAGGGCCTGCGGACTGCAATAATTGGGGACTCTGTAATAGGGACTGGTAGGCTTGCAGCGTGAATCCATTCATCCCAGATTTATGATGTCAAACTCGAGATGACATCTGGTCGACATCCCAAAGCCAATGGATTGGCTGAGGAGATCAACCAGACCATGATCCAACTTCTCCGTGCCCCAACCGATTGTGCAGGGGTTGTACAACAACTCCAGACACTCCTTCATCGGGATGACACCAAATCGTTTGCACCTCGGGTGGCAGATTCGCAATCCCTACCTGTTCCCTGATCTGGCGCCTCGCCTAACACCTGACCAGCCTGGCTACAACGCTAAGTTCGATCGCTTGCTCAAAGTTGCTCTTGCAGCTATGGAGAAGCGACACAGTGCCTTGTTCAAACATGATAACAAGAAGCGCCAGCCTGAACCTTTCACAGTGGGAAGCTACGTCTGGGTCAAAATGTCTGAGTTTTCTGAAGAAGGTGTATCACGAAAGCTTCTTCCTCAGTATTACGGTCCGTGGCAGGTGCCGAAATAGGTGGGGGATCATTGATTCGGTCCTCCTTATGTGATTACATGCCTCCTCACCTTCGCACATACCCAGTCTTTCACGCATCAAAGCTGTTTCCGTGTCTGTCTCCTGAAACCTTTCTATATCGAAAATCGATGATCCCACGTGCAATCAATGGCGGTCGCGAGATTGATAGAATTGTCGAACACAGTGGAAACAGGAAGAACAGGCAATATAAGATCCATTTTCTGTATCACCCATTAGATGATTTTTACTGGATTTCTAAGAAAAAATTGCTGCAGAGTGCACCGCAAGTCGTCAAAGCCTATGAACGACTGATTGTCTCCGAACAGCAGCGACAGTCCGATCAGCAGCCAAAGTTTACTGCTACTCTCACTCTTACGGAACACACCCGATGAACGCTTCCTGAAATGTTCCACACCCTAGGGTTGAAATGAAGATTATGGAGCCCAGAATAGGGCTGTCGTTTTTCCATTATCTGGATATTCACATAAGGGAAGCAGATAAGGCATTGTACTCTGTCAGCGAGCTACCTAGTGAAGGGTGGTTGTAGCTACTATCACGTCCGTCCTGAGGGCCACAGGTCTATGTTTGGTCGTCCAACAGCAGCGGGTGGTCAAGGGAATCACATTTGGTCCTGAAATGAAAGATCATTGTTTGCTGGTCTCTTCTGATGTTGTGTCATTGTTTCAGTGTTGTGGGGGCTTTTACTGACCAAGTTGGTGAAGTGGTTTTGAAACAAGAGCGACTTATACCCTTAGGCATCCCTTTCCCCTGCTGTATGCCCATGTTTCTGTTATGCGGAGTTTCAAGGGAATGACATTTGGTCCTGAAATGCAGGTCTCTTCTGATTTTGTGTCATGGTTCCAGTGTTGTGGGGGATTTTACTGACCAAGTTGGTAAAGTGGTTTTCAAACAAGAGCGACTTATTGCCCTAGGCATCCCTTTGCCCTGCTGTATGCCCACGTTGCTGTTATGTGGAGTTTGCATGATAATTGAGACTCTATAGACGTTGAATCTTGCTTTTTTATTGTTCTTGTTTTTTTGGAACTTTTTCACCTGGTTGGGAATCTGTTGTTTGGAGTAGGTGAAGCGTCTGCGGAACAAGAAGCATAAGGAGCAGCCGTGGTTCTGTCTTTTATCTCTGTATGCTCGGCACAGCACAACCGGAAGAGCCCTGAGGTTGCATTACCAACCAGCCTCTGCACTACCAGAGATTGCAACAACAAACAACGGTGCATGGGAGCAATGGCAGCTGTTGCCGGCAAAACCGCCAGATTATCTTGATGGAGTTATTGCTCACGATGTTGATGAAGGCAACAAAGATGGAGATGACAAGGAGCAGAGGAAGGACAAGACGTCTGCGCAAAGGACCGTCTACCTTGAGAACAAGAAGGCCGGTCGTTGTCTGTCTATTTCAGATGGTTCAGTGGTACTGGGAAAATACAGTCATCCCCTAAAGATCAAAATAGTGGCATTGCCCAAGGAGGGCGAGACTGATGTGGAATTTCAAATGGAAGAGGCAGAGGAAAGGGCCAAAAGGAAAAAACGAAGGAAGGGGGAGAGCAGCGCACCGGAGCCTGTGCAGGAGTTGGTGAGATCCCCAACTGAGCAAGTTGCTATTGCTCTGGCAAACATTCCAAGCGTCAATGTTGTTATCAAAGACGGCTTGTCAATCACATTGTTGTATGAGGCTGCAGGTGGAGCACATTTGCTGCCTCTAGTTCGAGCCAGAGGTGAGAAGATGGAGGCGACCGTGCAGCTTGGGACAGAGAAGACACGGTTCATTGCCAGCTGTTCAATTGGATTGGATTACTTCGAGGTTGAGCGTGGGAAATGGTAAGTAGCGTTGCATGCTCTGCCATGGTTGAAGTTCCTTATCTCAAAATTTCGTGAACATCTGAGTACGGACGCCGCCCGGCCGGGCGGGGCGGGGTGGGTCGCCCGGGCAAACCGGGCGGGCAAAAAAAACAGCCCAGAATTTTTTTATTTTTTTTTTTGAAGGCGGGGTCCTACTGTGCTCGGCGAGAGGACCCCGAATCTGCAATAAAATTCTGGTTTGGGG